GTTTGGCATGTTTGCTTCTGTTTTAAACCACACAACTCTGCTTCCAATCCCTTACGAGATCAGCTGTTGATACTATAGCCCAGCTGATTGATTCATTTTTCCTCTGAACCTTGGATTTCTTTACCCTGTACTATCTTACTTCTTTTCACTTGGTAGAAATGTGTTAGGAGACAACATAACGAAAATTTACAATGCTATAGAAAAAGCAGTGCATTAGGTAGTTCTACAAGGACAAAGACATTATTAATTAAGTTCAGTCCTATCAGGTTTTGTACTAGCCTGCTGCACGAGTGTTTGCAGGGCTGGAAACCAAGCTGTGCTGCTGGAAGCCTTCGTGTGCCTGCTCTGAAGCTACCTCGGATACAGCTTCGGCAGCTGCTTTTATTGCAGTATAGACACGTGCCACATTCCCAGAGCTACCCCCGGGTTGAAACATCTACAGTACACTTCTTATTTGATGCCGAGAGGACTATTTCCATAATTCTTAAAAGCTTTGTAATGCTACTGTAGGAAATGTGCAAGAGACAGGGTTATTGTCGCTGTTGCATTCGCTCTAAGGCCGTTCCCTCTCCCTGATACCTTGTGCCCATGGTAACACACTGTAAAATGCCATCCTGAGAAAAACAGCTGATTGCCCGTAGTGCCTGACAGCTACAAGGAATCACGAAAGCTAATAAGAATGATTCACATTCCCCCTCTCCTCCCTTTAAACCGGCTGTTTAAAAGAAAAGGGGGACGAATGGAAAATAAGCGTCGGCGGTTACATCCCGACTGAAGTCAATAAAGTCGCACCAAGGAGGAACAGATCTCCACTTGATTTCAATTCTTACTGCACGGGGGCAGGGGAGGGTGCAGCGGCATTATCATAACTTTTCATTAATCTCAGTGGGCAACCCGTTCAGCTAACGAGACCCATGCCAGCAGAATGCCAGTCTGGTGATAACCTGCAGAAGGCACAGAGGAAGAAATTGCCTTGCTAAGTGTCTGCGTCTGGTGGGCTTGCTGCTACCCTGATGAGAGCAGGAGGGAGGCAGAGCTGTGCACGGAGAGGCCACCTTCCCGCGGCTCTGCACAACGGGGAGGAAGGGGAAATCCTCTACGGGGTGAACTGGAGGCGAGCGAGCTTGCTGAGCTCTTCTCAGAGCAGGTCAGAGGGAAGCCAGTTGCAACCGAAGAGACAATTAAGAGCAATAACACACCGCTCAGGTGAAATTAGTGTCCGCCTCCTCTCAGGGAGCAATATCTCTACGAACAGCTTCAGCCAGGCAGAACAAATATTTGTCTGTCTAGAGGAAGGGGCTACCAGGGACTGGAGGTAAAATTGTGCTTCAGCCTGTGAATCTCTTAGTGAGTTTGGGTTGGTATAATTTATCTGTGTAGACAGCCAAAATGATGTGGGTTTAGTGTTTCTTTTCCTCAAGAGAAACACACAACATGTTAACCTGATCCATTTACAAATAGAGCAGCTAAATAGGAATACAGTGAAAGCCTGGGACAATCTCAGCTGGCCTGCGGTACCGTTAGTGTTTACAACACTCATTAGGATGGTAAATGGTGCCTAAAACCGTTTTCAGGAGACTTATCTGAGAAAATTCTTCTTTGTGGACTATAATAAAATATAACTAAACAATAAAAAAGAACGTCTCTGTTAAACGGTACCACAGCAGAGTGAAAACTATTCAGAGCTCACTCACAAAAATAAAGTGAATATTTTACAGATACTTTATATCATGAATGCTTACCAAAAAAAAGTTAGATGATGAATTACATGATAATATAATAACACATGTGTATGATAAACCACCTTAAATGTAATGCTATGTGAATACTAATAAATATGCAGTGAACTAGTATTGTATTCCAGGCTATATTGCTTATATTAATGAGAATGGCAATGTATGTACTTTTATTATGATTAATAGAACTATGTTCAGGTTGTTGCATCTTTCATCTGAACCAAATTAACTTTCTCTTTCTAAATTTATTGAAGAGGAGCATCACATACGCAGAAATGATCAACGAATAAGCTCCTCTAAAGCCCTCTTCACTCCTGTGCCAAATCTAGTATACTTACTATAAATGAGGCTTGATAATTAAATGTTATTGACAGCTACAGACATTTAATACCCAAAGGGGGAAGACCCTGGTCTCAGTAACAATGAGTAATACCAAACAACTTCCACTGAGCACAAGATTAAATAAAGCTCATGAACTACAACGAGAGCACATGGACGTATAAAGGTAGAACATAAGAGCAGCTTTACTGGAGACTGAACCCAAAGATACTGTTTTTCAAGTTAATGAGAAAATAAGTTTGGCTGCCTTAAAAAAACAATTAACTGTAAATTAGCTGTTGTACTACTATCAGAGATTAGAGAGAGTCCAGCCTATAACTTCAGGGCATACACAAAGGGAAAAAAATAGCTGAAATAATGAAATAAATTCTGTTTACAGCAAAGTTTAAACACAGGTGGTTTGGGGTTGGTATTTTTTGTCTGTTGTTGTGGTTTGGTTTTTTTCCTCTCTTGCATTTCTCCCCTGGGAGCAATTCAAATAATTGTATTTCTTAATTGCCATAGGACTTGCTCCTGCAAACGTTAAAAAGTGTGTAGAAAAGGAGCTACCTTCTTTCTAAAATACTCAGTGAAGAATCTCACTTTTTCTCCAACAAAATGAAGGTCTGCCCTGACTAGAGCCTATAGATATGGAGAGAGGTCTAAGAAAGGCGATTAGTGTTTGACAAGGCAGATGCACAAAATAGAAGTCTGTCCCGAAGATGTGTGACCCAAGCCCTTTCAGAACACACCTTCAGGCCCCATTGACAGCACTGGGGTGGGCAAAACTGGAATGTACTGGAAAAGAAATGATTGAGTAGTAACAGAAGATGAGAGAGAAGAGGTTAGAGGAATTGATAAAGATGATAGGATGGAGGCTTCCATGGAAGTTTTGAGCTTTGTTTCAGTAGAAGCAAGCTCCTATAATCAGCAAAGGTTGTCCAGCCAAACATAGGCAGAGACAAGGTTGTGCAGTGTATCGGATTCCTTTCTGTTCAGTGAAGATATTCTCACAAGACTTTTAATTTTCTATGTCAATGTTATTCAACTTTGAGTTTTGTACAAAGAATAGGGAATTTTACAGATTATTCTGGGCACTGCAATTCTCATCATAAAGTTCTTTGGAAGAAGAAATGAACAGTAATTGTAGGAGAACAACGAGGTTATATTCATAACTTGTTCTTACCAGTTAAAAATTATACTCCTGTGGTCTCTCTATTTTGCTGTAACTGGGAGCTACTTTTTAGCTTGGGAAATTTTCAATAACGGAGCTAAGAAACAAATTTATGGACATTTCTTTGAACAGTAAGCTTCCTAGAAATGCAGAGAAAATGTCATAATCAGCAGGTTCACCTATTTCAAAATGCTGTGTTCATCTGACAGTTCTTTCAATCATTTTTAGTAAAATACATCTGTAGCCATTGTGTAATCCCCCCTCACACCTGTAAATTATAATGTGGAATGTCATGATTTATTTCATAGCATAAAAGCTGTTAAATGAATACTGACAGCACCATTAGCGTTCTGATCTTGAACTGAAGTGCAAGTCAGCTCTGCTTAAGTCATCATTCTCATGAGCCACAAATAAATGTGCAGTTTAAAAGGGTGCCATAGGTTAATCAAAGCAGAATTAGTAAAGAAAAATTAGCAAAGAAGGGAGCAATTCATGAAACGACATGCTGAATCTCTTACCTAACATCGTTTCCATAAACACTCAGTGCCAAAGACTCCAGAATACTAAAACATGGGCTGAAAACTTGGTTCATTATGAATGAACTAAGAAATTTCGATATTACCTCGGCAGTTGAACCTTGTACTCTGGCTGCTCCCACCTACAGCCGGTACCTCCTTCCCACTCTTGACAAGCGGAGCTCAAGTGGACTCCACACACCCTAGACTCCTCTCTGACCACCGCCTTCTGGGAAAAGTCCTGGTAAAAAGTAAAGTACAGATAAGCAAGTTAACTTAGCTAATAGTAATTTATCCCATCAAGAATCATCAGATACTGTTGCTCTGCCCTAAACCCCAGATTCCTTGGTATAAGTTTCTAGAAAAGAAAATGAGTCCTTCTGCTTGCACTGCAATAAGATGTTTAATTTGTGCTCTTAACCTCTTCTGAACTAATGGTGATTTGCGGCTGCTTAAAGTATAAATCTACTTTTTCTGAAAAGCATATTCTGTCTCATTTTTTCCCTAAAGCAATGCTCCCCATTTTGTTGCTCTTCTACACACTTAAACCAAAGATTTTTTTTCTCCAGTCATAAAGATACTACATCTTGTCCTTTTTGGAAGTGAAAAACTGGATGCCTGTCCCTAGAACCTTATGAATTCTGTTGTATTATAAACATTTATCACAACTATTTTAATACTAACACCTATGATCCTTTCACGTGCAGAGCTTGTTTCATAAAGTCAAGCACTCTGTATCTCTTCCCAGTTTCCAAAAGATTTGAGATTGTTCATGTCTGGCACTCTGCTAACAGGGCTCAGCATACTTCAAGGAGGAACAGTTCCTTGTTAAGGAGGAATACTTGTTTTCTCTCCCAACACAGCTCTCCTCCAAAGTTTAGACATTATGCCTACCTTTGCTTGCATTTTTATCTGAGCTATTTAGTCCAATCTATTTGTCTATCTGAAGGGATCAGCAACATTCAAACTAAAACATAAACCACTTGACCTCCCAAAATGGTCGGTTCTTTTGCTCTTAAGTCACCCGTAATAATTTACAGCTTCAGTAAGAATCTCCAAATTCAACAAGTGTACTTTGTGTATGGTCGTTTATTAACTTTTTTTCCCTTACATGAACACAGTACAGCCCAAAAGGGGAATATAAATAATTTTTTTTTTTTTTTTAAATGAAGTTAAATCAAATTACCTTTCTTTTCTCCCCTGTTATTTACAAAAGTAATTTCTCATTCTAAATGAAATGTTTCTTTTCTCATTTAGAACTCCAAATGGGACCCTGATTAATGGAACAAGATGGCCAGTCTTCACTAGTACCGAACAGAAATATTTGACATTAAATACCGGCACTTCAGAGATACTGACAAAACTACGTGCTCAGCAGTGTCGGTTCTGGAATACTTTTTTTCCCAAAGTCCTGGAAATGACAGGTAAAAATGCTTTTATAGATGCTTTTCTATAACTTTTATACAAGGATCATTTGCTTGATACTAACGTGATACTTGAGTTTAAATCTTTACATTCCCCTTTGTAACGGAACTTCCATAAGATGTTCAGATGTTGGACAAAACTGCCCATGCTGTGGTAAGGGTGCACCCTGTAAAGTGCCCTGTGCTTCTGGCCGTGGGCTCACCACCCTGTAGCACCCTGTTACGTACCAGGACAACTCCTGGGACAGGCCACTCAGGACTCATGCGGTGTGGAGGATCTCTTCCCCAAAGTGGAGATGCAGCCACAGTGTGAGACATGGAGGGGACTACAAATCTCTGTTCTCATGGTGCCCCCCCATGAGGGTCTTGGCACTGCCTGGCTCTGGGTTCCTGGGGTACTGGAGAGAGCAGGAAAGACATTGCTAAAGGGGGAACTTGCACTGGGATTTCTGGAGGGTTTAGATGTTCTGTATAAACTTCTATCTAAGGTATATTGTGGGATGTTATATTGGGATTATATTCTCTGTTATTTGTGAGAGATTATTATTATGCAACTAATCCACAGAGGATATTAAGTGCATTGTTGCTGCCAAGAGGGGATTCTGTTCTACATCTCACGTGAGAGCGCCTTGTGTTTTATTTCTAGAGTGTTAATCATTGATGACAACCCAGAGACTTCAGGATTTGCCTATGCAAAATAGAACTGATTTGTGCCTGACCGTGTACACAATAAATTTATGAGACTTCACTACCTGGAAAAGTATAATGGACTGTTTGAGAATTTTAGGTTGAATGCAAAGGACTGGAATTTTCTTTAGAAGCCCGACGCCACTGTTTTTGCAAAGGCCACCAAACAGACCAAGTCTCTGCGCGTCTGGACTTCGAAAGGAATTGGTTTTATAAAGTGATTTTGCAGCTCTGGAACTGCATTCTGCAGTTTGACTTGGGGAGGAGGGGGAAGTCTCATTTCAAAAACAAGATACACTTTTTAAATGTTAATTAGTAATTTACAAGCTTTCTGTAAGATTCAGTTGGAATGTTAGTCTTAAAAATATGTAAACTTTCATGGTGCACAGATGATTCTTTCTGAAATAATTTATTCCTTCCTCATTTGGGCCTATAACTGTATTATGGCTCAATTTTTATCCCCTCTCAATTCAATAGATGTTTTTCAATTAAATCAAGACAAGCAAAATCAGTAGGTAAAATGAATAATTTATAAAGCATACTCTGCGATTTTAAAATCACAGTATACCAAATTATGGATGGATTTTAGGGAGGTTTCTCAAATTCTGACGAGCCCTTTATGCTGAGCCAGGAGAACTGAACTATTTTACATATTTCTTTAACCTGTCTGTGAACCCCTATTGAGTAATGTGCATCTTACAAATGGGCTGTGCATAACCAAATGCTCTGTGGCAGAGCAGAAGAGAGCACATCAGCAGACATAGTTCAACACATCTTGGCAGGCCAGCAGAGTTGCTCTGCGTGGTGCTGTGGTGTGAGGGATGACGCAGCGACACCCTGGATCTGCCAGGAAACGTAAATAAATCACTTTGCCATATTCAATCATCTACAACATGAATTTACATGATTTAATTAAAAGAAATTCCTGAGCATATTCTCAGCAAAAAGGAAAGAATCATCATGCCTGCATCCTAACACAGAAACGAGACAAGAATATTGTCAAGAAGTGCTGCTGCTTTGTCATGCATCTACATCGTCCAGTCCTTGAAAGATTGTAACAGAAATACTAGGGGTTTATATTTATGTTCCCTATACAATCTTAAACAAGTCCGACAAAGAAGCCTTTACGATTCTGCTTGCAAATACGATATAACACTTTATGTTGTAATCATTCTCTTCAATGAAATATCGTTTTGCTTTCCTATCTCGTTTTATGCCTAAAGGACACATATTTCCTCGCTTTCTGAGGGTCTACCTTTTCTGTTACTACTTCCATTGAAATATCCTTATAAAAAAATGTCTGTGTTAATGTGGTATAAGATGACAGAGAAAAAAGTAGGGAAATTTTATGTTATCATTGCTGCAAGTCATAGTTCAAGTCGGGTTCAGATAGACAAAGTGGAATTACATCAGTTAGAACCTGAAGAGGACAACCAAACTGACTTATTTTGCAGAAATTGCAAGGGGATTTCACACTGTGCCAAGCGGTCAGCATTTGGCACTGCTGCGCTTGGTAACAAACCACTTGTTTAGTCACTGATCCACTCTAGCACAAGCCTTGCTACCCTCTTGAAGTCTTCTCGGCATGTAATAGCTGGCTTCAAAGGTGTTCAGCATCTGAGCAAGCCTGTTCCCATGACAGGCCGGCTAAGACAGGTTCCTTGAAGCAGTCAAATACACGAGAGAGTAAAATATTTCATCCCTGTCATCATTATGGTTAGATTTTTTCAATTTTCCTTAAGCAACAAAATCTGACTTGTTAAAAAAAAATTCTTATGGTTATGGGTTGAGAAAACTAATAAGAAAAAAAAAAGGCACAAGTTTGTATGATTTTGGAGGATTTCTTCTGTCTTCCCCTTTAATTTCAACAAATAAAAGTGTAGTTGAACGCAAGTCAAAATCAGTAGTTTTGCGTCTAACTTGATAATAATCACTAGCCAGGTAAACTAGTCCTAGACCACTAGCCAGGTAAACCACACCTAGACATGCCTTACACGGGCTGTCAGTTCCAACTAGACACAATTTCTGCACAGATTTCAACCCTACTGCAAAGGCACTGAAAATCCCTCCATTCCCACTCACCCCAAGACAAGCTGGGAACATTCAGCACTTCATATTTCATTTGAAGGCCTGAGCACTCGGATGATCCCCAGAACTTTTTCTGATGACTGCTTCTAAAGGAAACATACCGGAGGGACAGTAAACAGCAAGTGACTCTTAAGAAGCTTTTACAATAATCATGTGTTAATTATAAAAGCATCTATGTTAGACTCTGCTTCCTTAACACAACCCTTAAGGCATCTAAAGCCCCCACTCTTTATATATGCCCATTTCCTCTTGATTATAGAAAGCTGCAGGCAAACAAGCTTTCCTCTTATTGCTCCGTTGCTATTTTAGTGTGCCTAATACATATAACACGTATTTTTCTGTTTTATTTGATATTACTGCATCATATACCATCTATAGAGAAATCGAAGTAGCTAAGATAAATAGATGGTATTTAAAACAACCCTAAAAAGATTTTGAATGTGAAGACAAAGAAAAATTCAACCTCTTGACCAGCGAACAACCAAAATAATTGTATTTGTTGTGATCCTCCAAAGAGTATCTGTATTCTATAGAGCTAAACACTCAGGGTAGTAAGAATATTAAAAATATGACTAATTAGAAAATTCACCACCAGAAACAGTTTTCAGTTTCCACAGAGCTAAGGCTGCACTCATCATACATGCAGAAAAGTGAACTAGGCAAAAGTAACCCCACCAGTTCTACTGACACCTACCGACAAAGTAAGTTTGAGCCCCATGCACCAATGGGCAATAAACTATGTACCTCAACAATCTGATTTCTTTCTAACTCCAGTACCTTGCATCCCAGGCCATAGGAGAGATAACAGCCCCTACAATATTTCATTTCCCAGAGAGCTCTATCAACTTTTTGGAAGATGAAAACAAACAAACAAACAAATTTAAAAAATCTGAAGTCCTTAAAAATATGTATGGAAACAAATAGACTGTTGTGGTTCTAAAAGCATTGATATTCAGAGTGTGTGATTAAAGAACATTGAATATAGAGATCCTGAAGTATAAATACTACTTGTTTTCTCCTTTCTGGACTTTGGTGTAGATATCATCACCATGAGAGTCTACAGCATAGATAAACTTGTAATATTTATCATACTAATGAATCAAGGAGTTTGCAGGTACCCACATTTATGAGCTGTTGAGGACAGAAAAATTAATTCTAACTTGTCATCCCTTATTAATTACACTATATCGTAACAGGTATATGGCCTTTGTCCCAATCTTAATGTTAATACACAAAAATATGTTTAAGATTAGCACTTTGGTAGCACATCTAGCAGTTCAAAAAATGATGGTATGGAGATAAGTTTAATGTTGCTATAACGCCATAAAGCAAGGGCTGTGTTCTATGTGTGGAAAGAAAAGAAATGCCAGCTGTCTGTGCTGACACTGCTGAAGAATCAAAAAAAAAAAGCCCGTTCATTTTTTTGGGTCTGGTAAACTGGGACCTTTCTGAGCACTGAGGTATGATTCATTGTCTGCTGAGGTCTCCCCTTTTCTCCTTGTAAACTTCACTGAGCTTTGCATTAGGCTGATTGCTGTTACTATAGGGTTTGGGGTTGCCTAAACGACTGCATGTAGCAAAACAACCTCCCTGCGTTATTAGCTGGCTGCCATAGTACCGCAGCGCCTTGTAGAAGCCCAGTGCTCTGAGCTGTAATTATCGGTCAAGTTGAATTCTCTAATCTTTTTTTTTTTTTGCCTTCTAGCTGTCAGCTCATCTAAGTCATGGGTGGTTGCTTCAAAGAGATTGATGATGTTGGTGATAATGGGATGCATTGACTTGTGACTTCAATTTGGATCTTATCACTGAAAAAAGCAAACAAATGGGAATCCGAGTTCTTATTTCAGTGTTTTCCTTCCCCCCTTTGTCTTTTAGATTCATAATGGTGGCTACTCTGAATTTCTTGTTGGCTGCATTCTCTAGCTGACTCACTTCTTCACACTGATCTTTAAAAAACACCAAAATGCCTCATAATTTATACTCTAGAACAGTGACTTTTAATTTAAGATGTGTGTGTATGGTAGAGGTATTCCAGTTTCTAAAGTTTTTGGGCAAACATGTGTAAACCTGAATAACTAAAGAAGGAGCAGGGTTTTTTTTTAATTCGTAAGTGGAGGCTTTGCCTGGACGAGCAAAACTGAATACCCATGATCAAGAACAAGACAAGAAATGTAGTTGAGACATTTTTCTCCAAATACTAGCACTGGTTCATACAATAAATTACCAGTCCATTTGACATACATGGAAATTATGGCTTTATCCGAGACCCTGGCTACATCTTTAAGAAATCTTCAAAGACAAGTTTTTAGAGGCAGGAAAGCAAAATGTTGTGCATGTCTTGTCCCCATAGTTCTGCTAGTCATATCTGCATAGCTTAGCGATCAAAACGTGGTTTTATTTTCCAGTATATACAAATCATCTTTGAGTTAATAACAACTGTGGTTAGGAAAAAAAAAAAAAAAATTCTCTGCACTTTTCTGTGATTTCCAGCGTAACCAAGCTTATTTACATCTTTGAACCAAGGGAAAGCAGTGTGGCTAATTTTTTTAATATATTTTCCTATATTTGTTCTTCACAATTTCCCTTTTGACTACAAGCATAAGCACAGGACCTCCCCCCCCCAAAAAAAAAAAAAAAGTATCTTGGTTTTATTTCTGGTCTCACTGAAACCAAGAAGTAATGTAAATCTCATTTCAAAGTCTCATTAAATTGCCATCTGGATTTCCAGACCAAAAAGGTTTGGAAATGTTGAGCTAAACTGCAGATAAGCAACCAAATTACTCGATGTTTCTCCAAACTAAATCTCTGAATCTCTTAACTCTCTTTCCAGAATATTTTCTCTACTGATGTGTAAAGCACAGAAGTATTTCATTTTCACATAACCAGTTAAACTTGCAGTGCTGGCAGATCGTAAAAGGGAGGGAAAGGGTGTATTTATGAGGGGGAAAGGGCCTACGTTCTACTGCAGCAGAACATAAAGTCAAAAGACCATAAAGAAGCTGTGGAACTGTTATGTCACAAACACAATTACCAAATTTTTTGGGAAGCAAGCTATGTCAATATGGGACACCGAGATAATTAGGTCCAGAATGAATAAAGGTATTCATAGGTCATAAATGTTTTCTAAACTTTAAGAAAAAGTCTACTACTTATCCAAAATAATAAGCCACATTATGCGATACAGCCTACCCACATTATCTTTCCTTCGGTTGTTGTATGGCTTGTTCCTGCAAGGTCACTGCATTTCTCCTTAGCATTAGTTACCTTCCAGGCCTGGAAGAAGTGATCCCTGTCCGTAAAATACTCTGGGAACCTTGTAAAATGATATATTTTTTATTACTTTTCTCATCCTCACCCTCTGCTCTGATGCCTGTAACAAATTTGGCAATAAATATTGCCTTGGGACACAGGATTAGCTAGCAAATGCTTTATAGGCTAGAAAGAAAAAGAAAAGAGAAGAGAGTTTCATGTTGACATAGTGCACATTTTACAGTATCCTTCTCCAAACTTGTGCCCTTATGCTTTAAACTTGCAGATTTATTCCACAGTAGGGTGAAATTCTGGCCATCCACTGAAACCCATTAAAACTAATGGCATTACTCTTGTTGCCTTGAACAAAGCTGTGATTTCACTGTATCTTCACAAGCACCTATCTCAGGTTGCGTATCGTAGTCTTTGGGGTACGTAGGTTTCACTGAACAGTGTAGTGAACCAAAGTAATATTTGGAGGCTTTAAGAAAAAAAAAGTAGCTTTAAAATGATGAATTTGAGGGACGGAAGTATTACCCAAAAGCAACAAGCCCATACATATGTATATTTATTATCCTGTGGTGTGCCAGAATGACGTATTTGCAGTTCTTTCCTGATGAAAAGATAAAGTGTTAATCACTGAATTTTTGGTTGTTCTAGGTTTAAAAAAAAAAGAAAAGAAAGTCCATCCTATAGTATATTTGGAGCAAATGACATTGATAATCAAAATTATTATTCAATTAGCATATAAAGAGATTCAAATTTAGATTAATGTAACCCATTTCATGTTTTACAGGAAATATTGATGAAGCAGAACGGGAGTGGAAAGCAGGATTCCATCGCTGGAACAATTACATGTCAGACTGGAAAAATCAATTTAATGATTACACTAGTAAGAAGGAGATATGTGCAGGCTCTAATTAATATGTTTACCCTTTCCAGTATGTCCGTATTATTGTTAATCAGGCAAACATACAGGTAGCTTTCTAACACATCTAGCATTAAATATTTTATAGAGATTTTAGAAAGAGTTATGGATATAATTTTGACTCCCCAGATCTTTCCTTTATATTTTACCTCATATCTCAATAAACAATATAAGGCATTCGTACCCTTTGAAGCTTCACAGTGTTAAATAGGACTATAGAGATTAAAGTCTGAAGATTAATGATGTACATATTATAAACACTAGCTGCTTAAATTCACACTTCAAAGAAACAATGTAATCTGTTATAGAAAAATGGATTTTTTTTTAAATAGAAATAGCAGTGTTTTACAGTATTGCCATGCAAAACACAATCGTTTTTGATGTTTAACTGCAACGCCACCGCACTTAAACCTTGCTTCAGACATAATTTAATTGACATAAACATAAAGAGATAATAACTTTGCTGGACACACCAAATGTTATTTGCTTGTTAGACCAAAAAGTTTTAAGACTGCCATTAAAGCCCAAATCATTTCTTCTTTATGGCCAAATCTGTAGGACAAAGCCATAGCAGGAGAGTATTCAAACTGTGTATTGAAGGCCTAAATCATCAGCACTCTGTGTGCAAGTGCAATAGCGAAACAAGCCAGAAAAACTGATGCTTCTGCTTCTGCTGTCCTCGTTTTTCAAGGAGTAAAGACCCACAGATTCACAAAGTAATGGACTTACAGCTTTCCTTGCCATGTCTTCAACTGGTAAAAGTCTCTGCTATGGAGGTAAGCTCCAATTATGGTGGTTTTTTTGTCCACCGAGTTGCCTCCTAGTCGAGGGACAGCCCCACATTTACTGGAACATTCTCTGCTATGGAGGTAAGCTCCAATTATGGTATTTTTTTTGTCCACCGAGTTGCCTCCTAGTCAAGGGACAGCCCCACATTTACTGGAACACGACAGACAAGTTTTTATACCTGCAGAAGAGCATCAATCCGCACGTCAGCGGGTTCATCGGATGAAAGCCCTGCTCAGCCAGCCAGCTCTCAGCAGGGGAGCGAGTGGAAGCTGGCCACAAAGCCCTTGCTCCTCTTGGGGAAGTCTAGGAAGGATGTCGCTGCAGAGGGACTTTGTGACCTTGGTGGAAAGGACTCAGCTCTTTGCCGTGCAAGTAGGCCTTTCCTGGATCCCCTTCTACCTCCTTGAGCTGAATCTACTAGAAGCTTCTAACAAAACTCTCGGATAATTCTTCTTCCTACTTCTCTGCTTCTGGATGGGGTTGGAAGTTGTATGCCTGAATAACACCTTAATTGGCTGCTTTTCGCTGGGCCAACTGGGAAGAATAAATGCCAAAAATCTGATAAACATAAGGAGTATGTAAAAGCAACAACCCATCTCATAAATAAATTATCCTGAAGCTTTCTGTAAATGTAATAGCATTTCAGTGCATCTATTTTCTGTTCTAGTTATTGCAAGCTCTTGCAAAATTCCTTCTTGAATTGAGTAGACTGAAGAGACCCAGATAATGAACAGAGAGTGTTCACTTTCTGGCAACTAGTTCGGCCACACAGGATCTCTACACTGAAAGGATTTCTTCTTGCAGAAAGGCCAAATTCTGCAAGAGATGATAGTTTATCATCTTTTCAGTTATTTCTAAGAGAAGACAACTATTTCCTGACTAAATTACAAAAAAAACCACCTTTTTGTACAGTATTTCCAAAGACTATCACCAAATCTGCACAATCAATAAACCTGATTGTTTTAAAACTTGAAATTATCTGGGATTAAAAAGCCCTCTTTAGGTAGCACTTCATGTTTATACCACAGGTAATTAGCTCATTACACACATTAGCATAGTTACTGCTATCAATAGTTGCATGGAGAGCTGTGTCAGTCTACAGTGTATCGGGTATTTATCAGATATTTCTCATGTCAGTGAAGAGCTACTGGGAAAATTAAAAAAAAAAAAGCCACAAAAGGATGAACTTTCTAGCCATCAGTGAGCCAGTTCTGGTGCTCCCCGTTTTATTTGTGTAGTGTGCTTCACAAACATGTTGGATGCTGATCTGCCACAGTGATCCCTGACAGCACCAGCAACACCTAAACACGTTTAAAAGCAGCATTTGTCTCTTTTGATATCCTCTTCTTAGCTATATTTCACTATCTGTCTAATCAGCCTAATCAACAGGAAAAAAAAAAATCTGAGCTAATGAAAATGCACAAACAACCTTTGGGAAGGGGAGGTTGCAAAGCAGTTTATAAAATATTTTGCTGGGAAGGTGTCCTATGTCTATATGTACTGTGAGCTAGGCTGGATGAGGTCTATTTGAAGACTAATATCCTTCCCACAGTACGCACACCATGACTGTGATGCTTTTAAAACAGAATAAGGATGGAGGGAAGAGGAAAGGAAAGCAGAATAAAATAAAGGTTAAACCACTTTTTGAAGTGTGGGTTTAATGATTTTCTCAGTGTGGTTAAATTGCTAGCTTTGTATTTTTTGTATTATCATTCACAGGAAATCAATATATCGTGTAGTCATATATTCATATCCTACACTTATGAAAAAATAGGAAAGCCTTAAGTTCTTGGATGTAAGCGGCTAAGGTAATGAAAAGTGAAAAAAAGACCGGTCCCCCTTGTATGTAGTTTCCAACTAAAGGTCAAACAAACTTACGTTGCAAGTTGTTTGAGGATACTGTGCATTGCTTAAAATTATGATTACATATTAGATGGATATCTCACCCAGGCCTCACTGAACATGTAATGTTGTTTAATTAGTGTTTTCTTTCGGCTCGAAAAAGGCAAGAAACCAGGGTTTCTCTGTGAAACCAGAGGAAATGTGTTGATTCTTTCTTACCATTCTTGATCTCCAGAGTAAGAATTCTGAATTTAGTCCCAGAGTTGCCGAAAGATTGTAATAAAGTGAACTGCAGTGCCAACAAAAACGTTGGCATTAAACCAGTTGTCATTAGGTTTATAAGCTAACAGCATGCTGATTAAATTACAGACATTTCACACATATTTTAGAGACAGTCATAAGAGGACCGAAGTCAGAAATTTCTCAGCAATATTGTTTAATTAAAAACACCAGGTTTTGCATTTGTAATGTTTTGTCTGAAGGAATTCAGGTTAGACAAGCTTTCGGTAAAGATAAGCACTATTTGAGTGAAATTCCATCTGTGCTTCTGCTGGAGCATCAAAACCCGAAGCAGTTGGGATGGTCAGAGCACCTGGGCTAGGACTAGTGCTGGTCTGCATCGCTGGACCAACAAAGGCTGAAGCTTTCTGGCTTTGAACAGGGTCACTCAAACCCCAAAAGTAGTTTCTAGCAGAACTAAGATGCCCCCAAGCTTTCCAGGCTTCCTCCCAATTGCAGATTTTACACTCATAGCTTGGATTTTTGGGACGGGTGCTCAGGCTTTGCTGTCCTAAGCCCTGGCCATCACTCTAGGCTTATCATACTGATAAAGGCAAATTTCTGCTTAAGTGGAAGCCTGGCTTTTTGGCCATCTTTGGTCACTAGAGGCTCAGGCTATTTATAGAGGAGAGATTAGTGCTCTATAAACACATAGATGTACATGCCTAGTGTAGTTGTTCATGAATAGACAACTCACATGTGTCTCAACAGCAAGAAGCAGAGGCAAATCATAGTTAGAAAGGTAACTTTGCAACATAAGGAAAACAAGTCCTTTTATTATTTTAAGTAGAGTGTTGGAGAGAAAATTAGTTTATCAAAAACTGATGAAACTGTCAGAAAAATGTGTATATATTTTATGATGTATAAGCTTAATATGACTGCTGTAGGCTTTTCTAATGTTCCCATCACATTAGATCACCAGCAAGTGATTTGGCCCATTGTCATATGCAGATATCACACAGATTGATCTGACCGTAACATTAACAGTGGAGAGATATGTATTTGTTTCTGTCAACATCACAATGTTGTCTTCTCAGGCTTGATTATGGTTCATGCATTTCTACTGGCTCAGCACCAGTTCTGCCACATCAGCAGCAGCTATTTAGAGGGACCTAACAAACGTCACCGCACTTCGGTTACACCTGCGACGTGGCCAGCTAGTAAAGAGCAGCCTGTGCTGCCACTGCCAAACGGCAGCCTGTCCACACGGGGCTCTTGCCCGTCCTTCCCCTCCAGTGGCCGGGGGGAGGGAGGGGGGAACCCCAAAAACCAGAAGGGGAAAAATAAATTAAAAAAAAAAAGACAAAAACCAAAAGACCCACAAGGGAAAACAAACAAAACAAACAAACAAAAAACCACAAGGCGGGGAAAAAACACAAACAAAAGACCCACAAGGAGGAAAAAAGCCCCACTAACAAAAGACCCACGAGGGGGAAAAAAAACCCACAAACAAAAGACCCACGAGGGGGAAAAAAACCCCACAAACAAAAGACCCACGAGGGGGAAAAAAACCCCACAAACAAAAGACCCACGAGGGGGGAAAAAAACCCACAAACAAAAGACCCACAAGGGGAGGGGGGAACCAAAAACAAAAGACCCATGAGGGGAAAAAAAAAAAATAACACAACCCACAAAGTGGAAAAAAATAATCCAAAACACCCACAAGGGGGAAAAACCAAAAACCAAAAGAGCCTCAAGAGGGGAAAAACAAAACCCAAGAGAGCCACAAGAGGGGAAGAAATAAAAACAAACAACAAAAGACCCACAAGGGGGGGTCGAGAAATAACCCACAAGGCAGGGGAAAAAAAAAAAAACAAAAAACTAAACAACAAAACGTCAAGGGAAAAAAAAAAAAGACCATAAATCCCCACACAAGGACTTTTGCCCCAGAATGATCAACAATTGAAGGGCTTGATGCTGTACACAGAGGTACTAAGTATCCTAGTCTCCCTGTTCCAATAACTCCAGCCAAAAAAGCCTCCCACTGAATTGTAAAATAAGTTTAGGAATTTGACAGTGATTCAGAATATGGGGTGAGGAATGAGACCAGCAGGTTTGGCTCAGGCTTGGGGGCTGCCGTGGAAAGTGCTAGTGCCAGCA